CCTGTGACTACACTATTGATAACTTGCCACAATAAAATGCCAAAGAATATATCACTCTCCCATTTTAAATAATAAAACAAGGCTCACAAGTGTCTAGAAAGTTCATGGCAGAGCTAATAATTTTGGATAGAAATCTCTCTGATAACAAAACCTGATTCCCTGTTTTTTATACTATAGATAATTTTCAGGGGCTTCCCTGGTGTCTCAGTGGTAAAGAACCCGCCTGCAATGCAGAAGCTGCAGGTTGGATCCCTGAGTTGGGAAGATCCCCCGGAGGAGGAAATGGCAACCCACTCCAGTATTCTTGCCAGGATAATCCCATGGACAGAGGAGCCTGGCAGGCTACAGTCCACGGGGTCACAGAGGGCTGGACATGACTGAACCAACAGAGCGCACATGCACACAGTACAGTCTGTTAACTACTTTCTTCTTTATTTCTGCACATTGAACAATAAAAAGTGACTAAATAATCACAGATTTGACCCTTTCATCAAAGGAGGACAGCAACACATTGGAAAGAATATCCAAGCTGCAGTTCAGGAGCTGGCCACCAGGTATTGCCTTGGCCATTCCTTTCAGATCAATTGTTAGGCACCTGAGGAGCAGTGCACTATAACGAAGATGACAAATTTTTCTAGGTTGAGGTGAACCACCAGAGTACCAAAACTTCATTCACAGCTCCTGATCACTCGCTTTCTCTAGTCCTTGAAACTGGCTTGTGATAAAGTAGTCTAGAGGATGGCTGTTCAAATTAACTAAGATAAATATTTCTCAAAAATTCAAAATCAGAAGTGTCATATGATTCAGGAATTCCACTTCTAATTATGTCAAAAAATTGAAATTTTGGTATATGCCCAAAATACTGAGATATTCATATATCTATGTTTCCATCAAAAGGTGGAAGCAACCCAAATATCACCAAATGACTGGATAGATGAAATGTGGTCTATACTTATACTAGAATATTATTCAACCTTAAAAGGGAAAGAAATTCTAAAACATGCTACAACATAGATGAAACTGGAGTACAGCATGATAAATGAAATAAGACACAAAATGACCAGTGTTGCATGATTCCACTTATACAGGCTGTCTAAAGTAGTCAAACTCAGAGTACAATAATAGTGGTCACGAGCTAGAGGAACAGGAAATGGGGAGTTACTCTTTAATGAGTACAAATTTTCAGTTTTTCAACATGAAAAGAGTTCTAGAGATGAATAATGTTGCTCTTTAATAATAATGTAAATGTATTTAATATCACTGTATTCAGTTCAGTTCAGTCGCTCAGTCGTGTCCGACTCTTTGCAACCCCATGAATCGCAGCACGCCAGGCCTCCCTGTCCATCACCAACTCCTGGAGTTTACTCAGACTCATGCCCATTGAGTCGGTGATGCCATTCAACCATCTCATCCTCTGTCATCCCCTTCTCCTCCAGCCCCCAATCCCTCCCAGCATTAGGGTCTTTTCCAATGAGTCAACTCTCCGCATGAGGTGGCCAAAATATTGGAGTTTCAGCTTTAGCATCAGTCCCTCCAATGAATACCCAGGACTGATTTCCTTTAGGATGGACTGGTTGGACCTCCTTGCAGTCCAAGGGACTCTGAAGAGTCTTCTCCAACACCACAGTTCAAAAGCATCCATTCTTCGGCGCTCAGCTTTCTTCACAGTCCAACTCTCACATCCATACATGACTACTGGAATACATGATCACTGTATTATACACTTAAAACTATTAATATGGAAAAAAATATGTTAGGATGGTAAGATTTCTTGAGTTAAACCAATTTAAAGCTTTTAAAATTAACTTTTACTGGAGTATAGTTGATTTACTATGTCAGTTTCCGCTGTACAGCAAAGTGAATCAGTTGTGCACACACAGCACATCCAGTCTGTTTAGAATTATATTCCTATGTAGGTCCTTACAAAGTATTGAGCAGAGTTCCCTGTGCCCTACAGTAGGTTTCTTATTAGTTATCTGTCTATATTATATGTACAGTAGTATGTATATGACAACCCAGCCTCCTAATTTATCCCTCCCCTACTTCCCCCCTCGGTAACCATAAATTTGTTTCCTGTATCTGTGACTCTACTTCTGTTTTGGAAAAAGGTTCATTTGTACCATTTTTAAAGATTCCACATATAAGTAATATATGATACTTGTCTTTGCTTGACTTCAGTCAGTGTGACAATCTCCAGGTCCATCCATGTTGCTGCAAATGGCATTACCTCACTGTTTTTATGGCTGAGTAATGTTGCATAGTATACATGTACCACATCTTCTTTATCCATTCTTTCCATAGACATATAGGCTGCTTCCATGTCCTTGGTATTGTAAATAGTGCTGCAGTGAACATTAGGGTGCATGCATTTTTTCAAAGTATGGTTTTCTCCAGATTTATGCCCAGGAGTGGAATTGCTGGGTCATATGGTAGCACTCCTTTTAGTTTTTTAAGGAACTTCCATACTGTTCTCCATAGTGGCTATACCAATTTACATTTCCACCAACAGTGTAGGAGGGTTCCCTTTTCTTCTTTTCTCCACACCTTCTCCAGCATTTATTGCTTGTATATTCTTTGATGATGGTCATTCTGATCAGTGTGAGTGAAAGTGAAAGTCACTCAGTCGTGTCCAACTCTTTGTGACACCATGGACTATACAGTCCACGGAATTCTCCAGGCCAGAATACTGGGGTGGGTAGCCTTCACTTCTCCAGGGGATCTTCCCAATCCAGGGATCAAACCCAGGTTTCCCACATTGCAGGCAGATTTTTCACCAGCTGAGCCACCAGGGAAACCCGAAGATCAGTGTGTAGTGATGCCTCATTGTAGTTTTGATTTGCATCTCTCTAGTGATTAGTGGCCGTGAGAATCTTTTCGTGTGCCTCTTGGTCACTGTACATGTTCTTTGGAGAAATGTCTATTGGATCGTCCCCTCATTTTTAATTTGAATTGTTTGGGTTTTTTTTTTTTTTATGGATCTGCATGAGTTGTTTGTGTATTTTGGAGACTAATCCCTTGTCAATTCGGTTGCAAATATTTTCTCTCATTTTGTGAAGTTTCTTTCTGTTTTGTTTATGATTTCCTTTGCTATGCAAAAGCTTTTAAGTTTAGTTAGGTTAAATTTGTTTACTTTTGTTTTTATTTTCATTACTCTAGGAGGTAGACCAAGAAAAGATTCTAATGTGACTTATGTCAAAGGGTGTTCTGCCTATGTTATCCTCTAAGGCTTTTATAGTATCCAGTCTTAACATTTAGGCCTTTAATCCATTTTGAGTTTATTTTTGTGTATGACGTTAGAGAGTGTTCTGATTTCATTCTTTTACATTTAACTGTCTAGTTTTTCCAGCCTCACTTATTGTAAACAATGTAAGGCATTCCTCTTAAGATTTCTACTCTACAGAATTGCTTTCCAAATACAAATATAAGAGGCAGCTACTATACAAGATCACTTAGCAACCACCCATTACCATTCAACTTTTAAAACACTGACAAAAATGGGATTCAAGGTAGAAGGAAGAAATTGCAGAGAAGGAATATTTGGGATTGTGTAACGATGATCGAACGAGGGGGCCTAGAGGAGTGCAAAATCAGCCACATGATGGAAAAAAATGTTTTTGGAGGAGTGTGCAGTGAAACCAAGATCAGAGACAGAACATAATTCATACAGTACTTGGCAAAATGTCCTTCTAAGGGCCACTAATTATTGATCTTTTTGTGGATAAGACTGAAGAGAGGCAGGAAAAACCTACATTATGGAAATTGAGCCATTCAGTGATAGAGGTGTTAATAAGAAGCAATGAGTATTAGCACAAAGTAGGCACCTTAGAATGTAGATAAAGGTACCATTAACTCAGCTAACAAAACTAAAATGAATGAATTTATTAAATGGTATAAAACAACATGATATTCAAAAGAGGGAAAATCACACAGAGATTTCATGACAAAACAATACCTGTAATATAACATATAGTCAATTAATATTTAATGAATTGCTGGGAAAATTAAATAAATAGTCTTGTTTAGGCTTCAGAGACAAAGCAGAACAGGCCTCTGACCTTGCTTCTAACCTGCCTGGACACTGCCCTGACTGTAAGTTGACTGTGAGTAACTACCTGCTGTGAGTGCAAGACTTCCAGCACCATGGATAAGATGGGAAAGGAATCTTGAGATTGTTGAGCTCCTAGAGGGATCCCCCAGCCTTAGCAACATTCCAAGTCTTACATGACTAAACTAACAACATTAAGGAAACCAGAGCTGCAATTTGGTCACAGATTGATGATGATATCAGTTTGCAACTGTCCTGGGATTGTAAATGGGAGCCCTGAACTGTAATCTTTGAAGTCTTATCCACGGAGGGAACTCTTTACATAATTGGGACTCCAGATGTGCTGTGACCTGGGACTTCCCAGTGCTGAAAACTCTCAAGTTTGGATGTTGACCTCCATCCACGTCTGGATGTTGGTCAAAACCCGATTTGGTGATGTATCATCTGCTTTTTCTATTTCTATTTTCTTTTAATGTTAATATGTTTAATGCTAATATGTTGAAAGTAAGCTAGATAATTCTCCAATAAACATCTATATTATTTATTTGTATATAACAAGTGGCTTATTTTTTTAACAAATCCTTTGAACCTGAGACAAAAGTGAAAACTTTTGGTAAAACATAAATAAATTGAAATGAAAATCCAACAATTCACACATATTTTTACTGATTTATAATTCAGACATTTCTGAATTTCCTTAGTCAATTCTTCTAGCTCATACTAATCACTACATGGCAAGGATTTTATGTGGCTAATTTTTGTCCTCAATACATAATTTTACATTTTTAATAAATACATAATTTAAACCTAAATTTTTTTTTTGTGAATGATAGCTCTGAATATGGCCTCTGAACCTAGAGAACTATTCTCTTAGAATGAGTATCTTCTCTCTAACCCTATGCCTGTGCAACTGTAATCACTTCCTGTCTGTGCTGGCAACTCCCTGCCCTAGTCCCTACGGCAGGTGGAGCAGGGCCCTGGGTTTTGGTGCAGGTCCCTCCTCCACACGTCCCACTGTGGGCTCTCTCAGTGCACAGAAATACACTGCAGAGTCCTCCAGCTGTGAAGCTGAGATGACAAGTGTGATAGATTTTCTTGCTTTCTGGAAATTCAATGAGTAGCGACCTTCTGTGGCATTTTGCTGGTTATGAGAATCCTGACGAACAAGGAGAATCATCCCCCCATTGCTGGGCTGCTTGTACCAGAATAAATTATACTGTGAATCACTGGTGTCATACTTGCAGTCCAGGGTTACAGCTTCCTTCTCTTGCACTAGTACTTGTGGTTGGTCTTGAGTTACCTTCTGGGCAATAATGGATCCTAAAGAAAAAAAAAAAAATAGAATCAGAACTTTAGGTATAAGTGGTGTGGAATAAGGAAATCCTATTTTAGACCCTACTACCCCTTCTTCCCATGGTTCCCATAAGACTGCCTGTTCCCCCAATCCTTAGGTCACAGAGGAGGCACAGTTCCATTGGGACCATCCTTACCTATACACAGTGAAGCCACGACCACTTTCAGAAGGCTGGAGAGAAGCATGTTTCAGCTCTCCACCAGATGGAAAATACCGTCTTCTTCAATGTCAAGGCTTTGCAAGGTGAGCCTGACAGGGTGAGGGAAGGATTGCTGGGTTTGTGCTGCTGCTGCCCCACAACAGGAAACAGGGGTTTCCTGGAGTAGCAAGTTGATGTGGCTCATGTCAACTTCTCTACGGACCAGGTGAATGTCTCACTTACCCCAAACTTCCTTTTGCATTAACCAGTTCTTCAGTTCAGTTCGGTTCAGTTCAGTTGCTCGGTTGTGTCCCATTCTTTGCGACCCCATGAACCAAAGCACGCCAGGCCTCCCTGTCCATCACCAACTCCCGGAGTCTACCTAAACCCATTTTCAATTGACACCAGCTACATCTGAAAATAAACACAAGTCAAATTTGATATTGAAAGGAAGAGTGAAAATTTGACTAACTACTGTGTTCAGCTGTTGCATCTATGATGGAACTTGTTTCAAGATACTGCATGTAATGGATTATGGAAACAACATAAGATGTAGTGATCATTTATCCTCATACCTACATGTGTTTTCTTTCACTTAAGATAGAAATAAATTGCTTTATGAGAAGAAGACAAATCTGTTTGTGCTAATTACTGCAGCTTTCTCAACCTACATATCAATATAGCAATCACTATAATTCTTCACCACAACATCTGCTCAGTTACCTAACTTGGGACCTAATAGTAGGAGAAAAGATAATCTTCCTTTGCAGAAGGCTAGAATGAATCTCGTAGACATGGAGTCCTATCACAGTGGTCCCTTTCTCCTCTCTATTTGTTCTGACAGTCCAGGTCTGTTCAGAGAGGGCAAATAGATGCTAGATATTGGTCATCAGGTTATCAAACCTTTGAATTTACATTGTTCCCATTAAGTCAGTTGGAACCCTCTCAGTCAGGTCCGACTCTCTGCAGCCCCAGACCTGCCAGGCTCCTCTGTCCATGGCATTCTCCAGGCAAGAATACTGGAGTGGGTAGCCATTCCCTCCTCCAGTGGATCTTTCCAACCCCAGGATTGAACCCAGGTCTCCTGCATTGTAGGCAGATTCTTGACCATCTGAGCCACCAGGGAAGCCCAAAAGAGCCTCAAAAAGCCTCTGTATTCTGTGCACCTAGTTCTAAGGGAATGTGTCACAAGAGACCTCTGTTGGTCCTTTAATGGACCGGAACCTGGTGGTCCAGAGTTGATGATGAGAGAGTGAAAGAAGTAAAGAGGCTAATATTCCCTGGGTTATGCAGCCGGCTTCCACGCTACAGGGAATCAGCCAGAAATAGATAGAGAGAGAAAAAAAGAAAGAAAGAAAGAAAGACACAGGGAACAAAGCTCTGATGGAGCAAAGGTGTTTTAATCAACATGGCGTGGGCATATATACCGTAGTTATTCTCAGCAAAGATAAAGATTAAAATTCCAGACTTACAAAACACAAGGCGATTCCTATTAAAGAGAGAAGAGGATACTTATCACCATAATGAGAAACTAACAAAGGAGATGTCTGGATTCCTCAGCCTACGGAAGGGAAAGTCGTGCCTCTCCTCTTAATTCCTGAATATTCAGGAATTCAGGAATTAATAAGGGCCAAAGGTTTCCTGACAGATCCATAACAGCACAAGGGAAACCTCCTGTTAAAAGCTTCCTGACAGACCTCCATAAGATAGTTGATCATAAGACCACTACTGATTATAATATTTGTGTAAAAATGTAAAAGGGAAACCATGCCTAAGGATATTACTAATCAACATGTTGTCAACTACAAATTGGCACTTGCCAAGAGTATTTGCCAGCAACTGAACAACAGCAAGGACATTTGTCTTCTACCTCTACAGAGACTGAACCCTGTGCTGCTGCAGCTGCTGACTTTCAAAACCCTCTGAGGGTAATGCAGGGTGGACAGTGAGGCACTCTGCTCCAGGGAAACTGGTGAAACAGGTCTTTACATAGTTAGAGATTTTCAGGAACTGATTTCATGATCCCAATCCCTGCATCTCTTCATATCTAGAGAAACACTAAATCCCTTCATGTGACATCAGCTCCTTGGGACTAGCAGAAAATTTTTTGTAAAGTAAGCACTTGATTGCGTTGAATTCCCCCTTCACCAAAATCTTATATGTTGACGTTCCCCCACTACCTCTTTGGAGCAGTCTCTCCGAGCTATCTGAGCTTCGATCTCCCCGGCTGCAGTCCTCATTTTGCCCCAAGTAAAATTTAGCTCACGTCTCTCACATTGCGCATCTTTTTAGTCAACAATGGCAAACAGCAGAGAGCTGTTACCTACAGGGGCCTTCCCCTTAAAGTTGAACAGATCTTGCCTTCTTATCTCCAAGTAATTACAGCTTCAGCTAAATTGGTTGAAGTTTTTTCAGATCCTGTCCTGGAAACTTCATTAAATCTGATGGTACCACACATAGCACAAATTGTTCTCCAACCTAAAACACCCAACCTTTTTCTACCGATCAGTTGACTAATATAAAATATTAATTTCCCCTCAGGTTATTCAACTTTGTTACCCTTCTCAGTGAAAAGTTCTCCTGATAGTACCTTTGCTATTCATAATGCCTTCGTGTCCAGAACAGATTTTTTTTTACACTCTCGTACCAAGTATGAATCAATGTGTTTTAAAATAATCTTATCTTAAATATTAAAAAGAAACAATACCAGGCTGTCTACACAATAACTGTTCTAAACTCCTTTGTAAGCCAATCATTAGCAAAAACAAAATTAACTAAGTAGCTGAACTTGTGAATCTATCTTGGATACATTAAATTGCAAAAAGTATATATTCAGTGGAAGTTTTAGGTTTTTAACACAGTTCACATATTATGTATGCCTGTTAAAGTGAAAGTGAAAGTTGCTCGTCATGTCTGACTCTGTGACCCCATGGACTATACAGTCCTTGGAATTCTCCAGGCCACAATACTGGAGTGGGTAGCCTTTCCCTTCTCCAGAGGATCTTCTCAACCCAGGGATTGATCCCAACTCTCCCACATTGCAGGCAGATTACCAGTTGAGCCACAAGCAAAGCCCAAGAATACTGGAGTGGGTAGCCTATCCCTTCTCCAGCAGATCTTCCCAACCCAGGAATTGAACCAGGGTCTCCTACATTGCAGGATTCACCTTTTCTTATTTCTTTAACAAACACCTACTGTAATCAACTATGTGAATGGGGACTGCTCAATTCAACATATAATAGTAAGTGAAAAACATTATAAGCCTATTGTAACAATAATTTATTGAAAAGGTAAGCTGAATATTCACAATATTATGTGATTGCAGAATTATCAATATCATATTTATTGTATATCACACATTTCCCTATAATTAGCATGCAATATATAATCAGAAAAATAATAAATGTTGTTTTCAAAACACAGTATTAAAAAAATCATTCATAATAAAGATTATCAATTGATATCAAGAGATTATTTATAGAAAAGGAGTCTGAGTGGCAAATGTAAAGGCAATCTTGCAATTTCAAAACAAAACAATGCTAACTCCCTTCAAGAAATCAGTAAGCAGCAATTATCCATAAAATGTGTCATACTTTCTGGGTCATCTTGAACCTAACCTCCTTATTCTATGCTTGTCTAACACATCAGTTTCTAGTTGCAGACAAACAATATGACAAATGCTACTTTGAAGGTTGCACCAGAGGAAGGGGGCTGCCCGTCACAAGTATGAGTACAGGTAGCGGGTGCCTGGGAAGCGCTGTGTCCTTGCTGCACAGAAGTAGGCAGCTGAGTCTCCAGGCTGGATGGTTGCGATGTGCAGGGAGAGACGTTTGGCCGTCTTATTCAATAAAACAGTCAGTCTCTGGTCTTTTTTCTCACCCATATTTGAACGAATAGCTACAAGGAGCTGGGGGCCTTTTCCAGGTTCTCGCTTATACCAAGGGAAATACTCTGAAGCTGTGTCTGTATAAGTGCAGGTGATAACAGCAGTGTTTCCCTCCTGGACACTCAGGGTAGAAGGACTCTGCTCCACCTCGTTTCCAAGACTGACACCTATGGAGAAAGTAGAAGTCAGAGAAAGAAGAAGGTTGTCAGATTATTAAGTTCCACAATTTATTTTCCCTTTTCTACAATAGCTAGAAGAAACCTGAATAAAGTCAGTCTCGGTGTCTAACGAATATCTACTAATACACTCTGTTTCCCTTTTTTTAAAAAAATTAATTAATTTATTTTACTGTTTCCCTTAAACCCTCAACTCACAGTCCAGCTCTAGGCATAAGAATGTGATTAAAGCTCCAATGGGTGTCTTCATTGTTTTTCCCATTTAGGATCAATTGTGGACCTGCAGTCTCCAACCAGGAGACCTGCTTCTGTTACCAAGTGTCCCCTTCTTTTCTCTAGTGGTTTCTTTCATTGTCTAGCCAGACAATCAGAAAAAGGCTCTGCTTCTGCCCTAAGCCTATTCATTCAGAATCCACTCAAAGGAACCCTCCACATGTTCTCATCAGCAGAGGTGCACCACCATCTGGTGGCCACATCTCTAACTACTGAACTCTGGTTAAATGTCCTTTTCATGGCTGTCACGAGGGACATGCATAAAACAGCAAAGGTCAAACAAATTATGTCTCAGATTGAAGTAATCTAATGCACTGTAAGAATGTATAGATAGAGAATTTGACTGTTTATAAGCTGAAAAGAAGTAGATGCTGTTGCTCTTTATTCAATGATGGGCCTGATATATAGGTTTTAAATTATAAAAGCAACATGATTCACTCTCCTAAGCAAACAAACAAACTATATATATATATATATATATATATATATATATATATATGAAACTATCAAGTTCAGCCAATATACCATTTTCATTTGCCTGTTTTGGAGGAAAACTCTGTAAAAGAAATTTGTAAGCCAAAGATCAGAGTAACAGAGAGAAGATCATTTGACATTTCAACTGCCTGTTATCTCAGACTGTCTCCTCTAAGCTGGTTTTCAGTAGGCCCTTGCTTTCTCAGAGAATTGACAGTAAAAACAGTTGAAATGTAT